CTGCAGGATGCCTTCGGCGTCTAGGCCTGCGCGCTTTCGGCATACTCTTCCAGCCACTGCTTGGCGTCCGCTTCCTGGACCTCTTCAGATCGTAGCTTCGCTAGCAAAGCCTCCCCTGCTTTCCTGATCTGCTTCTCATCCCAGCCATGCTTCCTGAAGGCGCAAATCTGTTTCCTACTCACGCGGCTCGGCTGCTGCGATGGATCTTTCCAAAACTTGCAGATGCCAATGCTCCCATCCTTTGAGTAGTAAAGCATGGACCACCTGAGCGCCTTAGGCTGCTCCAAAGGAGCTGCAGGCTCTGCGTCTGCGGCTGCAGGCTTCTTCATGCAGGGGCTTGGGTCTGACCTTTCCTCAGAAACGCAGGAAGCCTTAGCTTTGGCTTTGCCTTTGGCCTTGGCTTTGGCCTTGCCATTGGCCTTGGCTTTGGCCTTGCCTTTAGCTTTGGCTTTCGGCTTCTCCTTAGAGGAGAACTTGCCAGCAAGTGAGTTCTTGCACTTCTGCCACAGGAGCACTGTGATCTCGGTCTCCTTGGCCGGCTCATTGGCAAACTCCGCAACCATGAAACCATTCTCACCAGGATGCATCTTGGCCTGGATGCACTTCCCTGCAACATGCCTGACAAGGCACGCCTTGTTGAAGTCGAAAACTTCGTGGCCCGTCGGACCGGCCGAAGCCGCAGGCTCATCCTCCTCATCGATGACTACGACGGCATCATCTGCCTCTGGGCTGCTAGGCAAGAAAATGCTGCTCTCACTCGCAGCCGCCTTGGCTCTTGCAGGGATCTCGGCAAGGCCATACGACGCTGCAAGCTCGCCTAAACTCGACGAAGAGCCCGCAGATCCAAAGGACGACCTGCAGCGCTTAACAGCTGGCTTGTCCTCGTCAAGCTCCACAACTGGAGCCTTGCCAGAGCTCTTCTGATGCTGCATGCGCCTGCAGGCCTGCCCTATTCTTGCAAAGGACGTTTTGGACTTGGGCTTCCCCACAATCTGCAGCAACCTGTTAACGGCATTGCTCAACTTCTTACCCGAGCTCGATTGATGCAGCTTCTGGTACAAGTATTGGCTTGCCTCAACAGTCCTGTTTGCAAAATCACGCACAACATCTGAGTCCACTTCCTGGAAGCTAGCGTTCCCTGCTTCCACCATGAGGTTCTTGGTTGGTCGGGAAGTGACCAGCAAGAGCTCCCTCAGAAGCAACTCTTTCTTTGCGATGAAGTCCTCGATGGAGCTCTCGATTACTACACCTGCACTTAGGCCCTCTGGAAGGCCTGCCTTGAGAATGTGCGTGATATCTCCTGCAGTTGCCGTGTTCTTCCTCCTAACAGGAGAAGCATTGCTTGAAGAGGCGGCCATGCGCTCAAAGCCTTTAGATATATATAAACTGTGCAATCCGTTACATGGTCTACATGCATGAAAACTTTCATCCAACTTGCCCACAACGGTCTGCGTGCTTCAGCTCAAAAGTTGGATATGCACGCATGCGCATCATGCATGTCAATGGATCAACACGCCCAAGTCTGCTGCATGAAAAACTTCTTGCAAAATCAAATCATGCATGTTGCAAAATCAAACCAATCATGCTGCGATTTGTTTTCTGAAAATACGATTTTCCACGCAAAAAAACACCTTTTAAAACACATTTAAGCGATGTTGCGACAAAAACAACAACATTGCTTAAAATAAGGGGTATTTCCTTAAATAAGAAGAATTACCTTTTAATTAAGCAAAAACCACCTTTAAATAAACAATGTTGCGAAAAACATTCCTTAAAAACATAATTACCTTTTAATTAATGATGAATTACCTTTTAATTAGGCATGGCCGATTTGATTTAAAAGGTTTTTCCTTATTTAAGCAATATTGGAAGCTCTGGGAAGCAAGCAAAGAACAGGGAGCAGTGGACTCTTCCGGATAAAAAGATAGACGGGGACAAAGATGACGGGCCGCGTGGAAACCCTGACGGTGGCCACGGTGACCTGACTTCCATGATGCAACGAGAGAAGCCTACGCCTGTCTTCACTCAGATGCGGAGGCTGAGACAGGGGATGGAGCTCCTGCCCCCAAGACGTCGGAGTGTCAGATCATTCCTCCTGCTGTAAAGGTTGTACGCGTCTGGACATTATCGGCACGGTATGAGGGTACTCGGACCGCATCTGAGAGCAGTTGAACAACTCCTTCAGTCCTTTGCGCCGTCCCCGGAAGTGGCCTTTGAGGACGTGGATGTTGCTTGGTGTGAGGCAGTTTGGGAGGAGTTGCAGCAGGCCTTGAATAGCGCCATGCTGCAAGCAGGAGAGCGAGCACCTGGAACAGCGTCTCGGAAGAGGCCCCTGGAGGCTGAAGACATCGGGCTGCTCTACAATCCGCATGGTCGTAGCCAATGGAGCAGGGCAAACTTTGGGAGAACGCAGAGTGCCAACACCTGACTCTTCGGGACCGTGGAGGGTGCGCATTGAGCCTTCATCTGCTCAAGGCATGAGTGCAGCAACCATGTCAGATGGCTCGGGAACGAACCGACAGACTGCGGCGCAGGGAGGGGGACACAGGGTTTGGACATCACCGTGATACCCCCTGTGGTGAAGCAGCTGTACGAGCTATGGAAGGAGGGCATCGTGTCAGATGTGGCGGTTTGTGCACGAGTAGGCATGGCTGGCCTTGAGGAGTTCAGAGTGCGTCTTGAGTCGGAAGATCAAGAGGCGAAGGTGCTCTTCTGAGGGGTTGGAGCTTTAGCCCGCCTAGTCCTGTGGACGGTCTCCTTGCACCTGTGCGGCGGAGAAAAGGCGCGTCAAACAAAAAAAACCTAAACCCTAAACCCCCCTATCACTACCGCTTAGTCCGAAGCTTCAAGCCCAACCGCACGAAAGCCCTGAACTAACAAGGTCCACCAGCCCCAACTTCCCAGAGCCCCAACCCGACAAACCCAAAGATCTCTACACCCCAATGTTCGACCCCAACCCGGCCCTACCTAGACCTCCCGCATCCCTGCAACAATAGCCTAAACACCCAGTTTGGGGGTTGAAGGCTGTTATTTTTGTTGTGTTTGGCACGTCTAGGTACAGCTAGAACGACGAGAACCCCAGAGCACTATACACCCCTTCACCCCAAACCCGAAGCTTTAAGCCCCTGCTGCAGACCTGCTATGCCTCGCAAGCGGCTGCGAACACCGCAGCACCCCGAAACGCTCGGCGAACCATGAGTCGCAACTCCGCTTTGGTTGGGTTCAGGGTTGGTCAGAAATCTGTGCGGGAGAGATAGAATTTTCGGTAGATTTGAGGGTTTTTGAGGAGTATGTTGCCTAGGGTGGTTTCAGAGGTACACTTCAAGGTTTCTCGAGAGTGTGTATAGGGTTAGATGGAGATGATGAGCATTATTTGGGATTTTTCAAGTGGATCGTTAATCGTAGAGGGTCTCACAGAGGTGGAGTTGGTTTTCAACATCTAACCTTCACTTCATGTGACATGGTTTGGATACTTGAACGAATGATCGCATTCTTTCGCGACGTGAACAAGCCCTAGCTTTGACATCCATACGGTTTAGGGTCTAGGGTTATAAGATCGGGCCGGATGGAGCTGTAAGCGACCCTAAACTCAAAACACAGAGCTCTTCACTCATATCGCTCTCTCTCTCTGTCTATCCTCTCTCTCTCTCTCTCTCTACGTATGTGTGTGTATTTACATATACATATGTATACATACATACCTACCTGTTTATCCATATATACCCTTAAAGATTGCCATATTCCCCTGTATCTCTCTATATGTCCCTGTGAACCCATAATGTCAATGCTGAACCCTCAACACCACGCAAGCCCAAGCCCAAGGGTTATTGCAAGGAATTCTCCAAAATAAAGGGTGCCTTCGACCCTAAACCTCTTGGCTGAAGGATATACGAGTGTCAGAGTAAACATTTAGAAGACGCAACATGTCTGGGCTGGTCATGAGATTCAAAAGCATACATATGTTGCGAAAAACAATAGGGGCCAACCCTTTTTCCCATGGTCTCTTCTATACAAGAGATTTCCTCCGGCACTCATATGTGCAGACTACAAGGGGATCATGGATGGTCCTTTTAGGTTGCTTTAGCTTGCCAAAATAAATAATGGGACTAGGAAGGGGTCAGGGCGCCGAGAGGCAGGGTGCAAACAGGCATAGAACCGTGAGATCAGGGTGAATCTGCTGCAGAAATCAGACTATGGCACAGGCTGGAATTGTGTTGCAATGCAGCCAGGAAGGATTTTAGATCATTTCAGGCACGGTCTGATTGGGCTGCAGACATTTAAGACAAGAATGTAGCCTTAATACTCGATTCATGAATTTAACAGCCGAATGCAAGCTTAGCATTTGGTTCATCCATTCAAGCGAAAGAAGTGCAAATTCCAGAATCTCGTCAGCCACAGCTACCGTACGAGCTTCTTCATCTTCTCTTGTTTTTTGCGCTGAGAGAAACGAGTGACTACAGGAAACATTCCACTTGATTGAACATCTTCTGTTCGCCGTCTTTGGGCTTGCAAAGCACACGCTTCTTTAGGCATGTGTATCCTGAGGCGTTAAACCGCCAAACTCAACCCAGACCTCAAATCTCTACAAAGTGCGCGTATCATCTGGTTGTTACCCGCCATGAGGAATATCCTTACGTACCCGGCCCATTGCTATAATCCCTATCATGACAAGGCCCACACGTTGAAGACCCCTACCTAGATTCGCGCGCTTGCAACCCAGCATTTCACTGCTCATGAACCTACAAACATTTCAGTGCACCTGCGGTCAGGATTTTCATGTGAAGGTTCATCAGACGTACTAACTATGTTTGACTGGGGCTTCTGGCCCGACCTAATAATTCCCGGATACAGGCTCACGTAGTTTACCCCTTTCATAACTAGAGTTACACAACCTGTTATATGTAGTTACTGGGTCCCTCGCTCTCCCCAAGTAGTAAATGGATCAAAGAGGCCAGCGTCAGCTCAAGCTTCTAATCACCTCCCCCAAAGATAACCCCGGACCTCTCCTAACAATACATATCCCCCTCGTTATATGATGGTATATTCTTGGGGGGGTCTTTATTAAGGGTGTGGGTGGGGGTGATCAACCAAATCTAGGCATAAATCCCCCTAAACCCTAAACCCTCTAGGCATAAATCCCCCTAAACCTTGAACCCTCGAGACCTAAATCCCCCTAAACCCTAAACTCTCTAGCCCTAAATCCCCCAAGCGCTTCAACCTCAAGCTGTTGTCTTTCAACTGAGGAATCTGGCCTCCCCCTGAAACTCCGGCAGAGAGCGGTGTGCCCACAAGCGCGGTTCCACAGCAGCCCGTCTGCATTTTCGGTTGCCCTGGGCCGCAAGAAGTGATAATAAATTAATGGCCCCCAAGCCATTGACATTGCCAAACATAATGAACTAATGTCCTCAAAGTATAAAACCTAATGGCTCCCAAACCATAGACCATGCCAAAATCAGGAAAGCAATGTCCCCCAAACCATACCAACAGGGAATTAGATTCAGATCCTTAGTCCAAGGTTAGAACTATGGGCCCTCAGGCGCTTTTAGGGGGATTCTAGGGACCCTCAAGGGTACTTATAGGTTTCATACCCATCGTTTGCCGCGCTTCGCGGCTAGAAAGTGTAGATTTCATTGGCCAGCGCAAGGGATTTGCATGCCAGGTGAC